CTTGTTTTAAAGCATAAAATAAAAAGAAAATTTGTCTGTTTGTTGTGTAAGATGTAATTTTATTTCATCTCGTGAACTTTAAAAACAGTATTCTCACTCGTGGCTACGCCACTCGTGAGAATACTGTTTTTAAAGCCCACTCGATGAAATAAAATTTCATCTTACACACAAACAAACAAATATCCTCTATATATTCTGATAACCACTAGTGAAATTTATAAAATATCATTTTCCCTGTAGCCGGACTATATCTGAATACGGATGAAAAGAAAATCATAACTAAATGGAATAACAGGCAGAAATAAATGCTGTCATGCGTAAATTTTGCTTCTTTAGGAAAAGAAAGTCGATGTCACCATACATCATGTTAAAAATGTAACAAAATTAGAGAAATTGAACAGAACCATATTTCAAAATTAGTGATGTGACGTCATGATGTGATGACGTCACAAAGCGGAATGCGCGACGTTACGCGGCAAAATCAGTAAAAAATACTTAAAATCACTTAAAAAACATGAAATAAAAAGAAAATTTATTTGTTTTACATATAAGATTGAAATATATTTCATTCGTGAACATCAGCTATTATATTTTCACTCGTGGCTACGCCACTCGTGGAAACATTTGCATCTGGTGTTCACTCGGTGAAATTATATATTTTAATCTTACATGCAAAACAAACAAATATCCTCTATATATCAGTGATATTAAACTGGTAATTAAACAGTGAAATTATCAATTTGATAATTTTTGAATTTAAGCCACTTACGTTGTTTCAGTGTAATACCGGCGTGCACAGAACTGGGAACCAACTTAATGACGTGACGTCGTAAATGACGTCACATTGTATTATCATTTGCCGCATTTTTCATTCATTATGAGGTTTAATGTTTTTTTTAAAATGTTTCTTTGCATATAATAATAAGAAAATTTGTTTTGTTTAGTGTAAGATCGAAATATATTTCACCTTGTGAACACCAAAAGTCATATTTCACTCGTGGCTGCGCCAATCGTGAAATATACTTTTTGGTACTCACTCGGTGAAATATATTCCGATCTTACACTGAACTAAACAAATATCCTCTATATAATAATAATAATAATAATAATGATGATAATAATAATAGTAATAATAATTATAATAATAATAATAATAATAATAATAATAATTATAATAATATTAATAATAATAATAATAATTATAATAAAATAATAATTACTACCACTACTAAAACTACTACTTTTGCTGTTGCTTCTCTGTTGCTGACAATGATGATAATGATGAGGATGATGAGGATGATGATGATGATAATGATGACGATGATGATGATGATGATGATGATGATGATGGTGGTGGTGGTGATAATGATAATGACGATGATGGTGATGATGATGATAATGATGATGATGATGATGATGATGATGATGATGATGATGATGATGATGATGATGATGATGATGATGATGATGATGATGATGATGATAATGATGATGATGATGATGATTTGCTACATACATCTCATTATACTGTTGCTGTCCTGACTGTATTTTTACAAATCTTTTTTAGAGAAAATGATTTTTCACTGACATTCCACATCCATTTTTCTTCTTTCTCATGTGAAAACAATAAATAACATTGAGGTTACTTCCGTTTTGTATGTATTCGTACGAGAGATATTCCATTAGGAAATGGTTTTCGCATGATTGATACGCGTGTATTAACAATGATTTTTTTAAGTTTATTGCTATGAGAATGTTTTAATTTCGTTTTCTTAAATAAAAGGTCAAAGTAGGGATCTATACTAATTAAAATAAAATGTTATACTAGGGATCTATCTATCTACCTATTATTATTATTTTTATTATTATAATTACTATGATGACGATGATGATGATGATTATTATTATTATTATCATTATAACTATTATTATTATTTATTATTATTATTATTATTATTATTATTATTATTATTATTATTATTATTATTATTATTACTATTATTTTTCAATTAATAATGTAATTATTATTAATATAATTATTATTATTTAATTTTTATTATTATCATTATTATCATTTATTATTATATTATTATTATTTAATCATTTTTGTAATTATTATTATATGAACATCACCACCATCATTATCATCATCATCAACATCGTCGTCGTCGTTGTCATCATCATCATCACCTCCACCATCATCATTAGCATCATTATTATTACAAGTATTAAAGTCACATTATGAATATTTTTTCATAGTCATGTTGAGCGGAATCTACTATAACTGATTATAACACTAATTACCGTAATTTAAGATAAAGGCACCTAGTTATACTGTTTTTATGAGATTGATTTGGTAGTAAATCGTACTACATATTCTTGATTTTAAACATTTATTTAAAATATAAAGCTCCTTTTAGGAAAATTGAAATGTGATCCTACTTTCCTGGCTTTCCTTCATATTTATTTACCCATATTGTTCGGATTTTTATGCAGTTTTCATCAAGATATTCTTTCCGTCATGGGTTATGGTGTGCCCAAAATATGCAACATATATGGAGAATGTGTCGCCAAACGGACTGCAAATACAGAGTTTCCTCAAAATCTTTACACCACATGATGCCTAATATTCAAACAAAAACAAACCCTTATTGAAACATTTATTGAGAATAGGCTCAACATAAAAGAATTGCTTGACAAAATTCCAGTCGAGTTTTATATGTGCTGAAGAGATCCATAGCTGATATAAGAAATGATAAACAAGATCAACAAGGAAAGGCGGCGTTAATGAACGCAAACCATCTACAAAACAACGGATCACTTTCATAATAGTAACTGAATAGCATGTTAGTTTTGCCACGTGCGTCTCACCTGGTGAAAAGAGCGCTGAATATTAAAATGTTTGTCGTAAAGGAAACAAAATATAGATTATCTATTAACTTGACTTCCATACACAATACTCAATAAATGCTACTTTATCAATTGCCAAAAGCAAAAGAAGCCAAAGATGGCTCTGTCAACCGGCTATTTAGTTACTTTAGAGATCCAAAGCTGATATAGGAAACCATCTACAAAACAACGGATCACTTTCATAATAGTAACTGATTAGCATGTATGTTTTGCCACGTGCTTTTCAGCGCCGAATATAAAAATAAATGTTTGTCGTAAAGGTAATAAAATATAGATAAAATATTACCTTGATTTCCATACAAAACAATAATGAATGCTACTTTATCAATTGCCAAAAAGCAACAGAAGTCAAAGATAGCTCTAGCACTTGGCTAGTTAGTTACTTTTTGAAACTTTACTAGGACTCCAGGAATAAAAATATTGTTCGTGAACATGTCTTATAATGATGAGATTATATATTGTATTCATAGTTGCCATATTTTAAAATAGATATCATTACGGTCTTTAATTGTCAATTTAAAAGTCCGAGATATAATGCATCGGCATGCTACAGTTTGCAAAACATGTCTGAAAGTGGAAATATTTGCATTCATATCCCAAACTTTTGGAAACTTATAGATTGATGCTACATCCGAATCACTTCTTGTGATCGATATATATGCATGTATAATGGCATTTTTATTATCTTTGGATATGGCCTAGATTATTGCGACATAATGTTTGTCTCCTATTTACTGTAAATAGAATACTTGTTGATAAAATCAAACAGAAATATATGATGAAGAAACAGTTTCTTTTTGTTTTAATTCGTTTATTAGCAAATTTGCAATTCATAAAACATGACAATTATGGAATATTTAGGAACAATACAAAATATATAGTTATGAAATAATAAGTCCAATATACTACAGAAAATGGTACTCTAATTGAATAACTATAAATAACACAATTTACAAATACGATGTAGTCAATCAACATTATTAAGCAAAACAATATTCCAGTTTATGAGCTTTTGAACTTATAATATGAATTTTTATATTTGTATCTTACAGTAAGTTTTAAAATGGTGTCAGCGACTTAACAATTAATGCATGCCTGTCTTGAATATATGGTAAACTTATTTATATACAGGTAGCCTGCCTGTTAGTATACACTAATAATACAATTGTTACTTGTTTATGTGGCTTATATAATTAAATAATAATAATAATGAGGAGAATAATAATGATAATAAAGTAATAATTACTACCACTACTAACACTATTGCTGTTGCTGCTCTGTTGCTGATAATGATGATGATGATGATGATGATGATGATGATGATGATGATGATGATGATGATGATGATGATGATTTGCTACATACATCTCATTTATACTTTTGCTGTCCTGACTGTATTTTTACAAGATATAATTTTTAGAGAAAATGATTTATCACTGACATTCCACATCCTTTTTTCTTCTCTCTCATGTGAAAAAAACCAAATAACATTGAGGTTACTTCCCTTTTGTATGTATTCGTACGAGAGATATTCCATTAGGAAATGGTTTTCGCATGATTGATACGCGTGTATTAACAATGTTTTTTAAAGTTTATTACTTTGAGAATTTTTTTCTCAGATATTTTGTATTAATAATTCTTCTCTCATGTGACTGATAACTTAAAAAAAATCCTTTCAAGAAATTTCCTTATCAAATAATTGACAACTTAAATTCCTCATATCTGTGTGCACTGCATTATGAGTTTCAAAATCATTTTTACAAGCAAATGCTGTGTCACATATTTTGCATTTAAAGTTCTTCTCTCTCGTGTGCACAACCATATGAGTTTGAAGAGTACTCTTTTGAGCAAATGCTGTGTCACATATTTCACATTTAAATTTCTTCTCTCCCGTATGCACAACCATATGAATTCTGAGAGTATTTTTACGAGCAAATGCTTTGTCACATATGTCACATTTATAATTCGTCTCTCCTGTGTGCACTGTCATATGACTTTTCAGGTAATTTTACTTGCAAATGCTTTGTCACATATTTCACATTGATAATTCTTCTCTCCTGTGTGCACTGTCATATGTTTTTTAAGGTAACTTTTATCTGCAAATGCTTTGTCACATATTTCACATTTATAATTCTTCTCTCCTATGTGCACTCTCATATGTTTTTTAAGGTAACTTTTATCTGCAAATGCTTTGTCACATATTTCACATTTATATGTCTTCTCTCCTGAATGTACTTCTATATGATTTTTTAAGTAACTTTATGAGTAAATGCTTTGTCACATATTTCATGTTAATAATTCTTCTGTTTCTTCTGTGTTAAGTGTACTTCTATATGAGTTTTAAGAGTACTTTTCTGAGCAAATGTTTTGTCACAAATTTCGCATTTATAATTCTTCTCTCCTGTGTGCACTGCCATATGAGCTTTTAGATTGCCTTTCTGAGCAAAAGCTTTGTCACATATTTCGCATTTATATTTCTTCTCTCCTGTGTGCACTGTCATATGAGTTGTAAGATTTCTTTTTTCTGCAAATGCTTTGTCACATATTTCGCATTCATAATTCTTCTCTCCCGTGTGCACTGTCATATGAGTTTTTAGATTGCTTTTTATAGAAAAAGCTTTGTCACATATTTCGCATTTATATTTCTTCTCTCCTGTGTGCACTGTCATATGAATTTTCAGATGGCTATTGCGAGCAAATGCTTTCTCACAAATTTTACATTCATAATTCTTCTCTCCCGTGTGTTACTGCCATATGACTTTTTAGATGGCTATTGCGAGCAAATACTTTGTCACATATTCCACATTCATAATTCTTCTCTCTTGAATGTACTTCTATATGAGTTTTAAGAGTACTTTTAACTGCAAATGCTTTGTCACATATTCCACATTTATATTTCTTCCCATGTAAATGTACTTCTATATGAGTTTTTAAAGTAACTTTATGAGCAAATACTTTGTCACATATTCCACATTTATAATTCTTCTGTTTCTTCTGTCCTAAATGTACTTCTAAATGAGATTTAAGAGTTACTTTATGAGCAAATGTTTTAATTGTCACATATTTGGCATTTGTAATTCTTCTCTCCCGTGTGCACTACCATATGAGATTTAAGATTATATTTCTGAGCAAATGCTTTGTCACATATTTCACATTTAAATTTCTTCTCTCTTGTGTGCACTGTCATATGAGTTTTAAGAGTACTTTTATCTGCAAATGCTTTGTCACAGTACTTTTATCTGCAAATGCTTTGTCACACATTTCACATTGGCTATTGCGAGCAAATGTTTTTTTTACATATTTCACATTTAAATTTCTTCTCTCCAGTGTGCACTGTCATATGAGTTTTAAGAGCACTTTTATCTGCAAATGCTTTGTCACATAATTCACATTTATAATTCTTCTCTTCTGTGTGCACTGCCATATGAGTCTTAAGATTACTTTTATCTGGAAATGCTGTGTCACACATTTCACATTTATAATTCTTCTCTCCTGTGTGTATTGCCATATGCATTTTAAGAAAATAGTTTCGTGAGAACAGTTGAAAACAAACATTGCATTGATTTTTTTGACCACCAGTATGAATTTTCGTGTGCTTAATTAAGTGGGTTCTGTTTGCAGTTTTGTATTCGCAGACATCACATTTTGATAACTGCTTTTGTTCTGTACTGCTGTTCATGTTTCTGTTTGACAATACAGTTCTTGAATCCTATAAGATAAACAAGTAAATTTTTATCCCCTTTGTATATCCAGTATTGTTACTGAAATTTTAAGTATGGTATCAGCTTCCAATTATTGGAACTTAAATGTCAAAATTAGCTCCATATTTCGAATGATGATTATTATACTGATGACGTTCTTACTTTTTTTAAAGGATTATCGGAGAATTGTAATATAAATTTGTCTGTTAAAATACACTACAATGCGATAAGTACACAGAATTAAAGATGAAGTGAAGAAATTTAGAAATTTTCTTTGGAGTAAAACTAAAATTTAAATGTCAATGCAAGAATAATTTATGCTGTAAAAAACAGTGTTCAATTTATCGTTAAAACATAATTACAAATAATGATATATATTTACCCGTGTTCTGTTAACTTTCGAATGCAGTTTGTTTATTCTTGTTACTTTGACTCACAAACAATTGAGATATAAATTCGTTCTTATTGTGTATCATATCATGCAACTATTTTAATATAATGTCAAAGTACTTAGAAATTGGTGTTTTATAGAACACGCAGGTACTAAAACAAAATGACATGTGAAAATGCTTGCCGGATATATGTTATTATTTTAATTTGTTAATTCATGACACTTTATTTTGACACATGGAAGTATTCTATTCATGAGCCCGACATGCCCCATAAGCTATCTCAATTGCATTATCAAATTAGTGCATAACAATAAGAACTTTGCCACAATCTATTTATTAACAAAAGAATATATGTCAATGCCTATTATTAAGTCTATTGTTTTCTTAAATAAAAGGTCAGAGTAGGGATTAATATCAATTAATATAAAAAAGGTCATAGTATGTATCTATCTATCTACCTATAATTAGAATTATAACTATCATTATTATTATTATTATTATTAATATAATAATAACCATTATTATTAGTAATATTATTGTTATTTAATCATTAATGCATTTATTATTAATAAAGTTTTTATAATTTAATCATTATTTATTTAAATAATATTATTATTATCATTATTATACATATTTAATCATTATTGTAATTATTATTAACAATAATAATTTAATATCATCATCATCATCATCATCATCACCACCATCACCATAATCATCATCAAAATCATCATAATTATAATCATTATCATCAACATCACCATTATCATCATTTTCATATTCATCACCATCATCATCATCATATTCATCGGTATTACTAAACTTATTAAAGTCACATTACGAATAATTTTCATTGTAAAGTTGAGCGGAATCTACTATATATTTGAAATGATTGGGCATAATGGCAAAAATAAAGGGTCAATGTATGAATCTATCGATTATTAGGAGAAAAAAGTTTGGATCTTAATTAAAATTCGGAAGAATTTTATTAATCATATGAGTTTAACTGATTATTTCCTTAATTTAAGATATAGGCACCAAGCTATACTGTTTTTATGAGATGGAGTTGGTAGTAAATCGTACTATATGTACTTGATTTTTCTATAAAACATGAAAATTTGTAGCTTTTTTATTAGTTTTTTCTCAAGTCCCCTTTATGCGTGCGCGCGTTTTGTGTGTGTGGCGGGATTGGCGGACTAAGAAGGTTGTTTACCCTTGCCGCCGCAATAGAATTATATGAACAATTTAACAATGAGATAATTTCGTCAATCAATAGTCAGTGCTTGGCTGTACACATGTGAAATCTGCCATGTGTCCTAAAATTTGTCATGAGAAGAAATAATACATAGCAGTATCGGAAGACGGACAAAACACCATACGTCAAAACCCACACCTCACAAGTTTATAGAATGGACAAAACCCCACCCACACATGAATTTTATTGAGTGGACACAACCTCACATCTTTGATTTGATAGAGTGGACATGACCCAATACTTTTGTTAATATTTTGAATAGACCGTTGATTGATAATATAATAACCAACATTATTGACATTTTGACTAATTAATGTTAATTAAGATATTAAGATTAATGAATGTTCACCCTCTGATTTTTATTTAAAAAATTCTAATATTTGAAAGTTAACGTTTTGATCTTTATCTAACTGTTTGTAATATTAATTTTGTATAGATTATTATAATTCAATCACATTGCATTCAATGTATTTTATCATGTTAAAATTTAACAGAACTATATTTCAAAACTTACGATGTGACGTCATGATATAACGACGTCACATAGGAAAATGCGCGACGTTACGCAGCAAAATCAGTATAAAAATCACTTAAAAAGCATAAAATAAAAAGAAAATTTGTTTGTTTTACATATAAGATTGAAATATATTTCATTCGTGAACACCAGCTATTATATTTTCACTCGTGGCTACGCCACTCGTGAAAATATTGCATCTGGTGTACACTCAGTAATATTATATTGCAATCTTACATGCAAAACAAACAAATATCCTCTATGTATTCATAGTTGCCATATTTTAAAATAGATATCATTACGGTCTTTAATTGTCAATTTAAAAGTCCGAGATATAATGCATCGACATGCTACAGTTTTGCAAAACATGTCTGAAAGTGGAAATATTTGCATTCATATCCCAAACTTTTGGAAACTTATAGATTGATGCCACATCGAATCACTTCTTGTGATCGATATATATATGCATGTGTAATGGCATTTTTATTATCTTTGGATATGGCCAAGATTATTGCGACATAATGTTTGTCCCCTATTTACTGTAAATATAATACTTGTTGATAAAATCAAACAGAAATATATGATGAAGAAACAGTTTCTTTTTGTTTTAATTCGTTTAATAGCAAATTTGCAATTCATAAAACATGACAATTATGGAATATTTAGGAACAATACAAAATATATAGTTATGAAATAATAAGTCCAATATACTACAGAAAATGGTACTCTAATTGAATAACTATAAATAACACAATTTACAAATACGATATAGTCAATCAACATTATTAAGCAAAACAATATTCCAGTTTATCACATAAAACGCGACGCGGGAGTGTAATAAAGCCATTTAATAAAAACGATATTACACTAGTGTAATAACACTTTGACGTGACGTCATTTGCTCTATATAGAAACATAGCGTTAAACCGCGCTTATGTTAGCGTTACACTATAGGCGCGTCATTGAAAAATTACTCATTTTTACAGTTTACTGTTCTTATTTTATATATGTGATAAATAGAATATTATATTAGTATAGATTCAATACTAGATTTATTGAACTCGTTGAATAAAACAATATTATGCTCGCCAGAGGCTCGCATAATATGATTTTATTCAACTCGTTCATTAAATTTAGTATTAAACTACACTCATTCAATATCCTCTATTTATGAGCTTTTGAACTTATAATATGAATTTTTATATTTGTATCTTACAGTAAGTTTTAAAATGGTGTCAGCGAGTTAACAATTAAAGCATGCCTACCATGAATATATGGTAAACTTTGTTTATATAAAGGCAGTAAATTTTACTTATACCTGTTAGTATACAATAATAATACAAGTGTTACTTGCAAAACATATCAATGACATGATATAAGAATTGTATACATGTAACAGATCTATTACTTCGTCTATTCTTATTCAATAATAACAGATTTTATATAATATCATTTTCATGATACAGCCAGAGTTGATACAGTACGCTGTATATTTATTTAACTTTTAAAAACAAACATTGTTTAAAACTATCCACATGGGTTTTTCAGATTGGAA